TTCCTGCTCTTTCTTGGATGGGGCTCCACACAAGTTGTTACCCTGGTGGGACTTTCTCAGTGCAGTTACAGTTGGTAGGACCTTCTCTCCTCAGCAAAGCCCTGCCAAGACAAAGCCAGGCAGGAAGCAGCAATTAAGGGCTAGTCAGACACTTCAATTGGATTTAATGAGTTTGTACAGTTCCCACCTCCTCAGCTGGAGCTTCCCTGTTCTCCCCCACCAGCCCCTGGTGGCTCCCACTTCCCTTCATGAACGGGCCCAGCTAATGAAGTGCAACTTGTCCTCTGCTTGGTGGTTGTATTTATCCCTGTGCCTGGAGAGGGATGATGTTTCTTCTGGCCTTCTGGATTTGTGAAGCTGGATCAGGGACATGGGAAGGGCTCCATCTCTGTTCTCAAAACCCACCAGTTTCCTCCCGTTCCTCATTAACGGAGACAAACCAGGCATCTCTTTTTGAGGTTTCTCTTGACTTTGCTGGAGGTGACTCTCAAATGAATCTTTCAGAGCTTTGATTTGGATGCAAAGGGAGATGAAGGTTGAATATTTAACGCCGTCCTTTTCATCCACTGCTTGTTCAGCATTTCCCAGGTGTCAAAAATCAACACAAACCTGGATCAAACACTCTTCCTATCAAGCCTCAGGTGTCCCCATTTTATGGGCAAAGGTGGTGTGAGTTATCTCCCTGCTGTTCCCCAGCCCACAGGCTGCTGTGTCCTGCCCTGTCCTGGCTTTGGCAAGGTGGGACTCCCCGTTCCCACCCCCTAGGGTGGCTGCACCCCAGCAATGGGTGCCTTGATACGTGAGTATGGGTGCAGAGGTGGCAAAAAGTGGACTTTGTTGGGAACAAAAAGAAGGAACAAACCCACTTCAAACACACAGAGGGACGCCCAGTGCTGTCTCTTCCACCAGGAGATCTTCAGCAGCTTTCCTGTGCCACACAGGATTGGTTGTTCCTCTTTTCCATCTCAAGCTTCCCATGGGGCAGGAGGGCGATGGAGCTGCCTGGGGCCCACAGCAAGTCAGGGAAGGAGCCAGGAATGTCCCTGAGACCCAGCCATGGACATCCCTGCTGCCATCATCTCCTGATGTCACTCCTGTGCTCACTGTGGGGACACTGGTGAGAGCTGATCCCTTCTCCTCTCCCTTGCAGGTGACACCTCTGAGCCGGCGCTGGTGCCGTTCCCAGGTGAGATTCTGCTCCCAAAGTCCCTCTTCTCTGGGAACTTTCATGGCTGAAAAATGCTTTTTTGGGGGCAGAAAACAGGGTTTGGAGAATTTCCAAAAGGAAACCGATCGGGTTTTGAACGAGAAAGCAGCTAGAAAAAGCTAAACTTCTTTTACAGAAAGGAAATAGAGGTTCTTTATTATCCCTTTCCTGCTTCTTATACCCAGAGGGGAACTTTGCCCCCCCCCAGGGGTGTCCTTGTCCCTGCACCATTTGTCACACCCAAGCAAATCACTCCCCTAATGTGACAGGCCAGGGGCCCTCACATGTCTGTTCTCCACCACCAGGAGCTTGGGAGAGCATCTCCATCCCACCAGCTCCCACCTGGGACCAGCTGTGGAGGTTGAGGCTAATGAGAATTTGCTAATTGCATCTTGTCACCCATCACATGGTGCCACGTGTTCACTTCCCTCTCCTCCCACGGGGTTATGGCCCAGGTCACTAACAGGCAAGACCCTGGGGATGATGGTGCATCTGGTTGATGTACTGAGATATGTTGAGTCTTTGTGTCTGCTGCTCCCAGCAGATGAAGAGGAGCCCATGTCCCACCACCAGGTGGGTGGCACCAAGCCACAGCAAAGGGTCCCCATTGCCTTTGAGGAGCAGAGACTTGGTGCAGAGAGGGTTCACCCCCACCCTGTGACACCCACTGGGTGTTTGTCACCTCCTGACCCTCGGGTGGGCTCGTTGGCTGCTGAGGAACCTCTCTGTCTGCCCATCCTTCCAGAGATCCGTCTCTCCAACGGGCCCAGCCGGTGCCAGGGGCGGGTGGAGATCCTCTACAATGGCTCCTGGGGGACAGTCTGTGATGATGACTGGGACATTGTGGATGCCAACGTGGTGTGTCGCCAGCTGGGCTGTGGCCATGCCATCACACTGCCAGCTGCCATGACCTTTGGCCAAGGGACTGGACCCATCTTCTTGGACAACGTGGACTGCAAGGGATGGGAAGCAGCCTTGAGCGAGTGCTGGAGCCACGGCTGGGGCATCCACAACTGCTACCACTATGAGGACGTGGCTGTCATCTGCAGTGGTAACGGGGTTGAGTTCCTCAGGGGTGGTGCTGCAAGCCCTGTAGCTGATAGACTGGTTTGGGTTGGAAGGAACCTTAAAAATCACCCAGTTCCAACCCCCCCTTGCATGGGCAGGGACACCTCCCACCAGCCCAGGCTGCTCCAAGCCCCATCCAACCTGCCCTTCAACACTGCCAGGGATGGGGCAGCCACAGCTTCTCTGGGCAGCCTGTTCCAGGGTCTCACCACCCTCATAGCCAAGAATTTCCTCCTCATGTCTAACCTGGATCTCCCCTCTTCCAGTTTAAAACCATTACCCCATATCCTATCACTCCATACCCTCTGATCATCTCCGTGGCCTTCTCTGGACCCACTCCAGCAGCTCCATGTCTTTCCTGTGTTGGGGGCCCCAGAACTGGACCCAGTACAGCAGGGGAGGTCTCACCAGAGAGAAGAAAAGAGGGAGAATCCCCTCCCTTGACCTGCTGCTGGTGATGCAGCCCTGGATATGGTTGGTTTTCTGCAGGGAGCCCAAGAGTCACATCTCAGAGCCTGTTCCTCTGAGCCTGGATCAGCCAAACCTCCTCTGCAGTCTTTCTCCACCCCTGTCCCCAATCCAGGCCATCTCCCAGCTCAGCAAGCTGGTGACCAGCTTGCTCTGTGTTGCCCATCCCAGCTCAGGGACTTTGCAACCTCTCCAGCACCAGCTCTGGGGAAAGAGCACAAACCCACCCATGTTCCCACCTCTGAGTCAGCCCCTGCCCAGCTGCCTCTTTCCCCTTTGGACTTGTCTGTCCTTAAACTGCTGAGCTCATCAGTAGGAAATGTTCCTAGAGGTGAGAACAGCAAGTTGAAAGCATCTGAAGTGGCAAGTGAAAGTGGAACAGCTCCATCCCAACCCCTACGTACCCTACACGTTCCTCCTGCACAGCTACCTTGGGTTTTGCTCCTCAGCCATCCATCACCCCCCCAGAAACGTGGGGCTGTGCAGGCCTGGAGCTCAGCCATGGCTACAGCTGCTCCAGGAATCCCTGTGTCCTGCAGGGACTTGGAAAGGGATGGGGGTGAGGTTGGGTGGTGGGGTTGGACCATAAGGAACCAGAGAAAGGAGGTGATGGATTGAGCAGGAACCCTGAATTGAGGCACTGCTGGAAAGGAGAGGTGGAAGGACAGAAGGAGCAGGTTGCTCCAAGCCCCATCCAACCTGCCCTTCAACACTGCCAGGGATGGGGCAGCCACAGCTTCTCTGGGCAGCCTGTTCCAGGGTCTCACCACCCTCATAGCCAAGAATTTCCTCCTCATGTCTAACCTGGATCTCCCCTCTTCCAGTTTAAAACCATTACCCCATATCCTATCACTCCATACCCTCTGATCATCTCCGTGGCCTTCTCTGGACCCACTCCAGCAGCTCCATGTCTTTCCTGTGTTGGGGGCCCCAGAACTGGACCCAGTACAGCAGGGGAGGTCTCACCAGAGAGAAGAAAAGAGGGAGAATCCCCTCCTTTGACCTGCTGCTGGTGATGCAGCCCTGGATATGGTTGGTTTTCTGCAGGGAGCCCAAGAGTCACATCTCAGAGCCTGTTCCTCTGAGCCTGGATCAGCCAAACCTCCTCTGCAGTCTTTCTCCACCCCTGTCCCCAGTCCAGGCCATCTCCCAGCTCAGCATGCTGGTGCTCCTTAGGGTGACCAGCTTGTTCTGTGTTGCCCATCCCAGCTCAGGGACTTTGCAACCTCTCCAGCACCAGCTCTGGGGAAAGAGCACAAACCCACCCATGTTCCCACCTCTGAGTCAGCCCCTGCCCAGCTGCCTCTTTCCCCTTTGGACTTGTCTGTCCTTAAACTGCTGAGCTCATCAGTAGGAAATGTTCCTAGAGGTGAGAACAGCAAGTTGAAAGCATCTGAAGTGGCAAGTGAAAGTGGAACAGCTCCATCCCAACCCCTACGTACCCTACACGTTCCTCCTGCACAGCTACCTTGGGTTTTGCTCCTCAGCCATCCATCACCCCCCCAGAAACGTGGGGCTGTGCAGGCCTGGAGCTCAGCCATGGCTACAGCTGCTCCAGGAATCCCTGTGTCCTGCAGGGACTTGGAAAGGGATGGGGGTGAGGTTGGGTGGTGGGGTTGGACCATAAGGAACCAGAGAAAGGAGGTGATGGATTGAGCAGGAACCCTGAATTGAGGCACTGCTGGAAAGGAGAGGTGGAAGGACAGAAGGAGGAGGTGGGGAAATGGGTCTGAGGGCAGAGTGGTGGGTCTGGTGGCTTCAGCCACCAGGTTTCAGTGACTTGGGTGGTAAAGAAGAGCAGGAGATGCTCTGGGGTGGCCCTCAGAGGAGATGCAGGGCTGTGAGCCAAACACAAGACCCCTAGGGAAGGTGTTCCCACCCACACCAGATGGAAGCTTTAAGGGGCAGGGTGGTGGGGCAGCAAACCCTTCCTTCTTGCCCCATGGGGGCTGGTTTGGTGCAAGCCCTCTGGCTTCCTGTGGTGCCAGCAGCCCTGCAGGGCTGGTCCCCCAGGGGGGAGATGGCTTCAGGAGCTCTCCCTGTGGGCAGTGATGGATGTCCTCTCTCCACTTCCCTTTTCAGAGTTCTCACCCACCCAAGCCAGCGAAGGACCAACCAGCAGGACCCTCATGGCCTCAGTACAGGATGGGGAAAGTAAGCAGGGCTCTCTCATGGTGAGGGCTGGTAGGGAGCAGCTCCCCCCACCCTCCCACCCAC